GAAAAAAAAAGGGGGAAAAAAAAAAAAAAAAAAAAAAAAAAAAACACATTATAGTAAAACCAATACCTTCTCAGCTTCGCATCGAAGCTAAAATTTCAATAAGTTTAATTTCTTTTGTCATATGAACTATATTCTATGTAAATTAAATTATATAATATTCATAAGAGTCAGTGTATTCCCCTTTTAAGATATTTTAAAATAAAATAAAATACAAAACCCAGAATTTTAACACAAAAATAGCATATTTTTGAATACGGTAGCCATTTTCACCAAGAAGAAATTGTATATTTCGATTTTTTTTTTTGTCATAGTAAATTATATAATATAAGCTTTAATTTAACATTAAATAAAACTGAATATTTCCGGAACATTTTCAAAAGTTAAGTTCAAAATGTTAGTTTTTGTAAAAAAGTTGCTATTTTAAATACCCCCCTGTGAGTAGAATAAGTGTTAGATTTTCAAAAAAAAATAATATCAAATGAAAGGAAATTACCTAAAGTTTCAATATAAAAAAATATTATTTTGTTTTCGTTAATATTTCAATAAGTTATAGTACTTTAAAATACAAAAAAACATCTGGAGCTGATTTTTTTTGCAAATATTACATTTTTTGTTGAATTTCGGCAGCCATTTGCACATAGAAGATAAGGTGTCGGGAAAATTTTTTTTTTTCATTTTATAGTACATAAAATAAGCTTTAATTTGACATAGGTTTAAAGGACGCAGTATTTCCGAGACATTTTCAAAAATTAAGTTGAAAAAGTTAGTTTTTGTAAAAAAAGTCGCTATTTTAAATCCTCCAGTGAGCAGGTTAAGTGTTCGATTTTCAAAAAAATTGTATAAAATGAAAAGAAAATATCTAAGGTTTTAATATCAAAAAAAAAAAATATTGATTTGTTAATTTATGAAAAAGTTATTGAAGTTTTAAGAAAAAAAAGTGAAAAAAAACCCAGCACAGTGGTGACGTGGCATAGTTGATTCAAGTATAATGATATCTGACAGTGATTAAAATCACTATCAAAAAAAAAACGCTTCGATGCAAATCTTTAGATAGTGTTTAATTTTAAAAAATTTGTGGATTATTCCAAAAGCTACATGATCTGCTAGTTCATTATTAATATCGTAATTAAGATAAAGTATGTAGAATGAAAAAGGGATTATTAAAAAATATTATTTCTCATAAAAAAATAATGTTGATCCATACACTTTTCAATATGTCATAGCATTATAAAGTTAAAAATGTAAAAAATAAAATCGAGAGTTTTCACACAATAATAGCATTTGGTAGCCATTTTCACCGTGAAGATAAAATAAAGTCCGAAATTTTTTTTTTGCATAATAAAGTAAATTACATTAGCTTTAATTTAAGATATATATAAAAGTGTCAGACTTTCCGGAACATTTTCAAAAATCAAGTTGAAAAAATTAATTTTTTGTGAAAAAGTTGTAATTTTAAATCCCCTCCTGTGGGCAAGTAAAGGGTCACATATAAAAAAAAATATACCAAATGAAAGGTAATGATATTATGCATCTATATAAAAAAGAATTATATTGATATGTTCATTTTTAATAAAGTTATAGTACTTTTAAGTAAAAAAAATTGAAAAAATTTCGAAAATTAGCGATTTTTAAATTTGTAATATTTTTGGAGGTTTCCCCCATTTACGGGGAACGAGGGAATTTTTTTTCAATTTTTCAATTTTCGTATTTTAGATACGATTTGTGATCTTTTGACACGTATCATTGAAAGAAATCAGTTCGGTGAGAGCTGAGAAAAGCAGAGGTAGCAGACACAAAAAAAAAAAACACATCTTAGTAAAACCAATATCTTCTCAGCTTCGCATCGAAGCTAAAATGACGAAATTTACCGATTTTAAAAATTGTAATTTTTTTGGAGATTTCCCCTATTTGCGGGGAACGAGGGAAATTTTTTCATTTTTTAAGGAGAATGTCTTCAATTAGATACAATTTGTGATCTATTGACGTATTGTTGAAAGAAATCGGTCTAGTGAGAGCTGAGAAAAAGTAGTGACAGACACAAAGAAATATACACATGGTAAAATTAATACCTTCTCAGCTTCGCTTCGAATCTAAAATGTACCCTTCACTTGGTAAGAACAGCCCTACATTTGTAATAAATCTGAAGCATTACAAAAAAAAATTTGTTATAATAAAATGAGAATGATCGAATAATATCATTCAAATTATAATGTATTAATATAAGTAAAAAATATAAAGAATAAAATAATTCAAAATTAACAAAAATGAAATATTTTTTGAAAATTGATTCTTAACGTTAACAAAATATTATATTATGATGAAACTCTGAAGAAATATTTTCCTAAATGCCTAATGTTAAAATACAAATGTCAATCAATATGTTTAAATGGTTTTTACTCATGTTTAAAATATAGAAGTAACATTAACACAACATATTTTAGTGCTTAGCATATAATTTAAAGATATATTTTTAAAACGTAAGAAATATGACCCAAAAATTTTCTGGTAACGTTATCAAAATATTTTAGAACTATACATAAAACAATATAGAAATATTGCTAGAATGATGCTAATAAGACTTTAATATTCATATAACATTATAAAAATTTAAATTGTTAACTGGGAATAATTAACCTGGGTTAAGCAGATTTCTGATTATAATTACTTTTAAATGGATGAAGACTTTTGAATCACTATATATTTTTCAAATATTGATTTTATTATACAGAATGATTTTTTTATTATAAGCCACTCAATTACTTACAAAATAATTTTATTATTATTATTTTTTTTGGTTATCTTTAGTTACACATTATTCTTGATTTATTAACTATGTAATACTTTTTAAGTTCATTCCTTATGCCTTGTAAGGGTATCAACTTTGTTTTTTTAAATGGGAACACATATTTTAAATTTATTGAAATGTTTAAGTTTTTAATTCAATAGTAAGTGGCATTTGAATTTTTAATATAACTTAATTCGTTTATTAGATATAAACATTTAAAGTTTCAAATTTTTAAGTTAATATACATATATAGTACACAAGGTATTACAAATACAGGTAGCTAATTGGTTTTTATGACATCAATATTCGCAGGTACACAACATTGATATGATCAATTTTAGTAAGGCACATTGTTGTGAGTTTATAAATACACTCACTCATAATATAAAAAGTTTATCTATTGATAGTCATAATTAATAATAAAAAATCCGTGACTGTGGCAGCAATGCCATTTACTATTAAATTAAAAACTCAAACATTTTATTAAATTCAAAATATGTGTTCATATTTAAAAAACAAAGTTGATACCCTTACAAAATATAAGGGATGAATTTAAAAAGTATTACATAGTTAATAAACCAAGAATAATGTGTAACTAAAGATAACCAAAAAAAAAAAAAATGTAAATTATATTTATTTTGTAAGTAATTGAGTGGGTTATGATAAAAAAATTACTCTGTATAAACTACTGAAATAATATAAAATTAATTTTGGATTAAAATAGCAATATAAACAGGATTGATATAAATAATCGACTTTTATGATATTGAAGATGCTAATCGATATTAATCTTCCGTTACTAGTTTAATTTAATTTAAATTACAGTAAACAAATAAAGTTTTATTTTATTTAATACAGTTCAATTTAATTACTAAAAGAGATATGGATTAATAATTATAAATTAATATAATGAATCAAAATGAATTTTGGATTCAAACCATAAATTGTATATGAAAACGAATAATTTAGATTTATAAATAACTCATGACACTTTAATTTGTGTAATTTTATATCACATATGCTATAAAAATTATAGATAATAAGAAGATTACTTTTTTGAAAAGTTTCCAAATAAATATTTTTATTTTCAAATATTATGATATTTAATTTTAATGGGAGTAAATGTAGTATTTAAATCTAACGCCCCATTACTATAGAAATTCATAAAATTAAATTTAAGTATAATTAATGATTTTTCAAAATTTCCCACAAATTTGAAGGTTAAAATAAAATTTTTTAAAAATGTTTTAGCAAAATGACTGATGTCAGCTAAATCTTTATCATTTAAAACAGGAATCCATGAGTTTTTAATATCGTCGGTCAAAGCTTGAAGTCTATCTAATTCATTGAAAATACTTAAGGTATCAAGCTTTTCAAAAACTTGAAATCGTGATGAGTTTTTAAAAACTTTTAATATTTCTTGTTGGTTAATACCTATTATGTTTATATCATTAATAATTTCATTTTTTAGTTTATTCAATGTAGGCTTCAATTCTTCGAAATCTCTAATGTTAAATTTTTTATTTCTCTGGATAAGTTTGAAATGTATTGACCATAATAGCGGGTCTTCACTGCATAAAAAATCTATGAATGTGGTGACGAGACAAGACAATGTGGACCTAATAATTTTATCAATGTTATCACAATATATATCGACTATTTCAAATGCATTGATAAATAATGATAATTGTAACCAAATGTTTAAATAAATATTAATCTTAACGGTTTTATGTATAATGTCATGGTATTTGATGAATTTAAAAGGATTTTGTGCCCACTCTATAGTACGATAATCTATTAATAATTTGGCTTTTTCTGTACGAAGATGATAACTTAATTCCGTCCAATCAATACCTAATTTTTCTGTTAAACTAAATAGTGTATTTTCTCTGTAAAAATAATCAGCTAATATTAAATAATCAAAATGAAAAGCGGAGTTATAAAAATATATTGAGCTTAGGTTTGTGACATTATCCGGTGGTACAGTTAAATAGGTGGAATTATCTTCATAATAAGATTTAATAAAGTCGTACACATTGGATATACCAAGAGTTTTATAAAAGTGCGGATGTCGTATATCTACTATGTTGGGTAAATAGTAGTTTTTTTGACAAAGTTTTAAATAGTTTACTATATCATTTTCATGTTGTTCAAAATTTATGGTGTAATTTGAAAAAATTAAATAAGGCCAACTATCAGCTGCACGTACGGCTATGTATGCTTTCCACAACCAGTTGTGAGCAAAAGAATGTCCAAAAAGTAATACTGATAACATTCTCGACATAATATTTATAGCATTTGTATAAATACTTGGTTCACCAAAACTTTGTGGTTTATTTGTCCGTAAATCCTCTTTTATTTCGGTTAATAGATTATACACAATTATACCATTTACGCATTGCAAAGATTCAATTTTTTGTGAATATTTTATTAGTGATTTAAATTTTGAATCTAACATAATATTTTCAAAATGACAGGTATTCGATAAATTATAGATGTCTTCTTCATTTAACTGAATGTTCATCCCTTTAATTGATTCAAATGTGTGATAAGACATCAGTACATTTTCTATAAATTCTCTACTGTATGTATTATAAATGAAATATTTTCCTACTTGATAACTTTCCTGAATGTCAACAAAAATTTTAAATTATAATTTTTATATTAAATACAAGAAATCATATTAGTTCACAATAAAAAATAAAATTGTAACAAAATCCAGATTACGACCCATATGGCAAACTACAAAGATCTGCAAATGATTGTTTATTTAATCAAAGAACGAATAATTTGAATTTGACTCAAAGAAATGGGAAAATAAAATGATATAATGAAATATTTATTTTGATAATTATTATTTTTTATCAAAAAAATTGATGTCTATTATTATAAATTATTTTTAGCTGTATGATAATTTTATTAATTATTATACATAAAAAATAAGAATGACACATGTAAAAACTTGAATAATTTAAGTCAAAATTTTGTAAATTTCATGCTTTATTTTTGTCCCAGGAAAAATAAAATTGTAGCTTATATATTAGATTACTTTTTATACTTATAGAAAATTTTTTTAAATAAAATTACGATTTAAAAATCAACACCTACCAATTTTTTAAAACTGCTATTTTCTACTTGATCCATTAAGATGATATGATAATGAATAATATATGACAAAAATAACAATGAGCATAATATAAACATTTTCAAGTACAATAAGTTCGTGTTATGGATGAATTTGATGTAAAAAAATTACTATAAGCTTATAAATTCAAAACAATTTTAATTATTATAATTTTTATTAAATATATATGTATATATATATATATATATATATATATATATATATATAGTATTAATAGAAATAGAGACATTTTTGAGTGCATACAGGTGTCTGAAAGAAATATGTGTTTAAAAATTTTTATAATAGCAGTTAATTTAATCAGTCGTGTGTTGAAAATAAATGCCTTGCTATATTAAATTTTATATGCATTTGTATTTAAGTTATTATTTAAGAATAATGACATTAGCTAGGTTGAGTAAATTTATTATGCCAGTAAATTAATGAATAGGGTGGCTCCATTATGAATACACCCTTCCCATTCACATTTTTTTAAACTTATTAAGTGAATCTAACAATTTAAAATATTAAAAACAGTCTAGAAAAATGCAAAAAGTTAGAATAAAAATTTGAGTACTTGTGAGATGATAATTTCTATTTATTTGCTATTATGTTGTAGATATAAGATAATAATTTCTTCGTTGAAAAATATAACAATAATTATTTCACTATAAATTATTTTTTACTTAGTTAATAGTTAGATGATAATAAAAATATCAAAAGTTCTCTAAGAATCAACAAATAATTTTTTTATATATTTATAAATATTTTACTTATTGTGCAAAGACTAAAAATAATAACCCTTTCAAAAATGATTTAATATAGATGAAATCAAAAAATTACTAGGAAAAAAATTATATATTACCTATAATGGGTTTAATTTGGCCGCCAATATATAAATTTAGTTAAAATAAATATAAGTCGAATGCGTTTGTATATAAAAATTGATAAGAGTTAAACTTTTATTCGATATAGCTTATAATTTTAACTTCAAAGTATCTGAAGTTAAATTATTAGATTTTAAAGTGACCATTTTTAGGAATTTTTAGGCCAAGATGATAAGACAAAAATAAAAATCATCTGGCTCAGTTAATATGTATACATAACTTTATTATAATATTACTATTTTTTTTATTGTTAAGAACATAAAATATTAAAATGTAAGAGAAAGATGTATAATTTAAAAATTTTGAAAACCTGTTATTCAATAAATATTTAATATAAAGTATTTATACATAGACGACGATTTTACCTTTAATTTGTAGTTACAGAGACAAAATAGTCTCTATGTTGGAATGAATATTTATAGTCCAGATAGAGCTATCAGTGGATGTTATAAATGTAGCTTTTTTTCATTACTTTAAGGATAGAAGACTTAAACTTAAATCTTCTTTAATGTATCTCCTATATTAAGTTTAATAACATGATATTTTCTTTGTTACTATAGCTTGTTCTAAAATTTTTTCGCAGGAAAGTCTAAATATAATTGGAAATAAATTTTCCTAATCATTACATTTTACAAATATGACAACTTTTATAGTCCACTATTTAATTTATTTTTTTATTTAATCACAATATTAATGAAGACGGGTGGTAGATAATAAACAAAATTTGTTCATCCAATTTTTTCAAAGTTAATGCTGAGCGATCAGAAGAAGCTTTATCAAGCAGAAGAATAACTCTTTTAGGTATTCATTTGTACTCCTGAATTATCGTTATAAGTAGATGAAAAAGTTGAAAAACTTCTCACAAAAATAGTCTGGTTCAAGCTTTTGGGTGATTGTAATAATCACATGTAAAACATCGCACTTCAACATATTTTGTATGTACTGGTAGCGTTGGAACACATACTGTTCATTCATTTTATGCTAGATTTATGTTTGAGAATTGATTTTAAGATTGTGCAGTAAATACTTTTGAGTGTAATATTTTCCAGAATACCTGACATCTACATGTACACTTGGTCAGGAAGTAGGTTGAATTTAGAAAGCAATGAATTGAGGGCCTCATTTAATAATATTGCAATAGTCAATCGCTACTTCATTTCGGCTTAAATATTTAGCTATCTTATACCGTGTCGAGTTTCGAACCTAAACAACTACTTTTTTGAAAGTTTTCCTTAATTTTCAAATTTCCATGAAACTTTTTTTACAAATTATTGGCTCAGAAATCTAAATTCCTTCAGAGCACTTTTGCTTAAACAATTAAAAAAGATCAGGTTCTCTGTCATTTAAAATGCTTTTTTCAAAATTTAATCAAACATAAATCAAAACGTATGTTATTGAAAAAAATTAAATATTAAAGTAATAAATTATAAACTGTAATATTTTTGATAGTTAAACAATTTAGGTGAACAATGCAGTTGAATAAACATATGCCAAATAATTTTAATATACTAAAGGCTGTAAATGTCTTCACTAAAATGAAAAATTGTAAATAACCTTTAATTTTAATGTTTTATTAGTTAAATTTTTCATTTTTTTACGTATTTATATTAATATAGTGTATATTATTTTAATGCTATAATAATTTACAAGTAAATGATATGCATAAGATTTGCGATTATTAAAGACAACTATATTAGCTTCGATGCGAAGCGGAGAAGGTATTAATTTTACTATGATGTGTTTTTTTTTTTTTTT